TTTTTTTAAAACAAAATTTCACACCCAGATTAATACTTGAACAAATGATGTTAAAATGTGTTAATGAATGTAAAAGATACATGATATATATACAAAATATAGAAAATAACACAAGAAAATCAAAAGAAATCAAACTCGCGCAACGCGCGAATCTAATCCTAGTTTTATAAATTGCGGAAATATAGAAGTCCGTTTAAAAGGAGAAGTATCTTACTATTTCCACATTCTTAAGTTTTTTTTTATTAATCACAAATCCTCTATATATTAAAAGAGAAATATTGGAAGGTTATTGTCATTATCACACATTTATTTATGTGACTTATTTTTATTATTCTAAATCTATTTAGCAAACTCTTATTATTTCTATATTCTTAAGTGTTTTTTTTAATCACAAATCCTCCATATATCAGAAAGTTGGGAGCCAATTTTGTTTATGTATCATTACCACACATTTATTTCTAAATGTGTGACTTATTTTGATTATTCTAAATCTATTTACCAAACACATTTGAATACTCTTAAACTTGCCAAAAACAATTATTACAAAGAATTTAATATTAAATCTCAACATTAAATCTAACACAAAAATTAATACATAATTCCATAAAAATAAAAAAAATTCTTTTCACTTTTATTATTTTTGAAAGCTACGAACATGTAATTTTTTTTTTCAAGATATATATTATTATATTCTAGTTAGTAATCTTAATTTCTACTCATCCCAAATACTAAGCATTTTCCTTATTTTCCATTTCTTAATATATCATTTTTGAAAGCTATGAGTATATATTTTTCATGTATTTTTTCTTTTTACGAACACATTTCATATATTGATTAATACGCATATATTCGGTTTAGTCAATGTCGGAAGTGTATTCGTGATAAAATAAAAAAAAATAAAAAATACATGGTACTTTTATATTTCCCAAGATGAAAATAATGCACACAAGATTGATGGATTTTTTTAGCAAAAGGGAATTATCAAAGAAGATTTTCCTATAAATTGTTTGGAGATATTCATACCCATTTAACTATGACACGTTTTAAATGTTCAAATTCCATTCCTCACTATTCTATTTGATTTCATTTAAAATAAAGAAATCTCAGTCTGTATTTTTATGGAAAAATCACAAATTAATATGTAGAG